TTTTGGTGGCTGTTTAGAGACTTGTTCCTGGAAAAAAATTAATATAATAATAAAGGCTAACATCAATCAATTGTAGATGACTTTGAGTTTTCTAATCAGCGAGGAAGTAAAACATACCACATATATAAGCCCCCTGGCTTTCCACAGTTGTTCTGTGGACTACATGCTGCTCTAGATAAACCGTTCCTTCTGGTCATCTCACTTTCTATGCCAGCAGAGCAGGGCAAAGGGCAGGAGAGCGAGTGCACCCCTCATCTGTCACCGTTTCTCTCCCAGCCTTCTGTGGCCATGCAGGAAAACTCTCCCTTCACAGGCTCTGTGGACATCCACACTTTCTGTTGTAATGCAATTCTGTCATTGGGAATATATTCCTAGCATGAATTCTCAAATCCATAGGAGCTCACTGACATCCTATAGTGAAAATGACTTTGACCTCTTAAAGGACACCACCGTTTTCCTCTTGGATAGTTTTTATGTGTTGGATTTGGGTGCGTGGAGCGGTTTTTATATGTAGCCCATAACAGGATAAGGAGAGTTGAAAATTAACACAGTAGAATAAAAAGTCCACAGATGGTGCATCAACTTCATCTGAAGTCAGGTCTCACAGATGGTCAATCTTCTTTGCCACAGAGACTGTTTTTTCAACACCCCTTACTGTGCATCATGGTGACCTCATGTGCCCCTGACCTGGGCAGTCAGAACACCTAAAGTTGGGGCCAGGGTATGTGAATCTTACACACAGTAACACTGCGGAGCGCTGCTCTCAGAGAGAATGAAATACATAAGACATTCACAAATTAGTATTTTCTAAAAGAGTGTAAGTAACATACAAGAATGAAAACCTTATCAACAACGATTCCAGTGGTACCTTGTGATTAGTCAGAATGCTACCAACCACCCTGCCGTTGCTATCAAAGCACCAGCGCTGACCATGCAAGCAAACATCGACCACTATCTTGTTCGATTAATGATGTTAGATCATTTTTATACTGTCAAAAGATCACATCCAAGGGCAGGAGAGACGGGAAGCAAAATAAGAAAGGCCAAATCAAACCTCTGAAGTGCAATATTTGATGCACTCAACTTAGTTTGAAAACAGAATGAAAATGGAAAAGAAAAACAAAATCCAGAACGTATTTCCGACTATTGCTAACACATGTACTCATTCATTCCACCAGGACTGGCCCTTAAGTACAGTTTATTATCAGTTTAAAATAAGAAGGCTAAAAATCTGGAAATACACTGTGCAGACATTTACTTAAGAGAACAAAAGAGCTGCTAGAACCGAGTCACTCTGAAGTGCTGTGGGAAATTCTGTGAAGGGCACTTCCTGAATCTAGTTACGTGCCTCTGTGCCTCGCGTTCTCCACGGCGGATCTATTGCTCGCCAGTGGCTGAGGCCAAGACCGGGCTGGAATGCCCGGCTCTTCCGTGGCCACCAGCTTCTGTCTGTAAAGCGGTGAACTGCAGCCCTTCCAGGAGGCTCAGGGGGCAAGTGTGTGGTGCAGAAATATGGCACTATTCATTACCGTCTTCAAGGTAAAAACTACATTTTAACAAAAAGTTGCTAAGTAATTTTCAAAGGCAGTGGAATGAATGAAGCACAAAATGCTTTCAGAAGAAGTCCTAAAACATGAAGTAGTGCATCATCTGCTGTATCACTTCAGTGCAGAGGCACTTTATTGCTCATTTCTGGCGAGATTCGATTTCCCTCCTTTTTGGCGTCATTTAAATGTACAGGTTTTCAGATGCACAGGTTTTTCTGCGCAAAAGGTGCAGACAGACAGATGTAAGAAGGGAAGTTCCAAATCAAAATCTAAAGATTTCGTTTTTGGTACCGGAACCGAAGTTTTTCTAAAACAGCAATTTCTGGCAAAAGAGCCAAATTGCACATTTAATTTGAATGGATGCAGATTAAAAAATAATGGATTTTTCATTAGAGAAAATGACTTTGACTTTAATCTCTTGAAAGGAAATGTAGAAGTTTTGGGAATTCTTGATTTGATTTGAGTTCCTTGAAAGCAAGACACTCCAGTCCTGTCTTGGTACCCACAGCTGTTAGCACAGCGTGTGGCAGACAGCTGGTACTCGAAAACCGCATGGCGAGTGAGTGTGTTCAAGCACAGAGCCTGACCCTGAGGATCAGAGACACACCCAGGGGTCTCTGCAAGAACGCTCACTCTGGTAGGTACAGCTGCCCTCCAGCCTGCGGCACCACCCCAGGGGGCCTGGTGCACAGCATGTGTGTCCTTCTAGACAAAGACAGACTTGGCTTTTTGGACAAACACACCCATGAGATTAGTGGAAACACCACAGGTTAGTCCCCATCACACAGCACTATTAGGATCACGCCTCAACACCTATCCGACCATCTCACCCAGGCATAAGGACCCCCATACGCCAAGTCAGGCTGCGACTGTCAGCATGAGGGTGGAAGAGGAAAAGAACAGAAAACAGTTGCCAAAATCAATTACAAAGCGAACCCAAATGTCAGAAAACATAAAGCAAAACCCAGGTAATCTTGAAATCGTGAAAAATTACATTTTTACATGGCTTCCAGGATCTCACGTGTATTTACAAAAGGAATCACATTAGAATAACAGCCATCATAAAATCCAGTAACATTAAATAAAATTTGCATGGCAAATGTTGCTATAATTCATGAAATCTGAAGCAGTTTGAGCAATCTTACTTCTTCCTCTATAAAATACATTCTATTTATATTAGGCAAAATGTGAACACATACATCACTATCAATTTTTAAATAAGAAAAATTAAAATCTTATGATATCCAAAATCTAGGTTTACTGAGAAGAATGCCCATGCAAACACTGGGAAAGTAAAATTTACCCCCATCTTTAAGGGTTTACTATTGCTGCCAGTTGAATGAAGAAGGCCTGTATTTTGAGAATGTCAAGAAATAAAAGATACGATCTTTGAACTTTACAAACTAAAGATTTCAAAATATTAACATATATCAAAGCAGAACACACTGACCCTGCATAGGGAGCGCGTGAAAGGAGGTTCCTCTCTGCAGGGCAGCTGGCCCGCCAACGAACAGAGGCCAGAGCTCCCAGGCCCCTGAGGGCTTGGGGACTGATGCTGTCACCTCCTCACTGCTCTGTGCTTGTCCTGAACCTGTCAAAGGTTACTTCATCTGTCATCTTACTTCCAGGATCCAAGTTCTCAAGGTCTGTGATTTTTTTTTAAAGTATTATTTCTTTAGACCAAGTATATCATGGGAAAAATAGTGTAGGAAGCCACCTGGCTAAACACAAGAATCCTGTCCACTGTTGATTTTCCACTTTCTGCTCCTCTCTTATTTCATGTCCAGATTGTGGGCCTCTTCTATAAAATTTTATACCTTAAAACAAATATGCTGGAAGTCTTGGCAGAGAATGGTGACTAGCAAAGAAACTTAACTCATGTCTGGTTAAAATCAGTGAAAATGAAATGAATGCTATAAACAATGATTTTAATAGTTTTAAACTCTTTGGGGTCAGGAATCTTTCTGAGGATCTTAGGAAAGGGACAAGTTCTTTTCCCAGAAAAATCCAAGTACACACAAAATCTTGAATACAATTTCAGGAGGATCACAGATCTGAAAATGGATACTGTGATAGATTTGGATTCTGTGTCCAATTTCTCTGCTGTTCTCTCTTGAGCCTGCATTAATCAGATTTTGTTCTCACCATTTCCACCAAAAGTTTCCTTGTCAAGGTCACCGACGTCCTCCATGACGCTAAGGCCAGTGGTTGGCCCTTAGTCCTATGCTCCCTTGACCCCTCCCCCTCCTCCTGAAAACAGTATCTTCTTCTCTTGGTTTCAAGGACTCAGCCTTCTCCTGCGCCTGCCCAACATCTGTCATTTCTGTGTCTCTGCCACAGATTCTGCAAACTGAGTTTTGCATTTATAATGCTTTGGTTAAATGTTACTTCCTCTAGCTTGACTCTTGTCAGAGACAGGATCTTTGAGGAAGTTATAACCGTATGGCTAAGGGGAAAGTTTCAGAGAGCAAGGAAGCTCTTCAACTGACTTCACATCTGAACCGTTACTTTCTGACAAAATCACTATGATCTGCTCTGGGCACTGCTAAGACCATGACAATGACTGCTCAACAGAACAACAACGTGTTACCTTTACACTTACTGTTGTGAAGCCAGATGAAATACACATTCACGGTACATATAGGAAGTCTAGGTTTAATTGTCTAATTTAATTGTCATGGTGATCAAAAACAAGCCTTCTGCTCTATACACTTCTTGAGCGAAACAGACAGCTGCATTGAGACCTACTTCCTGCCAGCAGTGACAGCAATTGTAACCCGGTCGTAAATAAAACTGACAAGCTCAGAGTAATGTACTGACTTTAAGAGTGAAGCAAAACACAGTTTCTCTACTTCACTTCCCAAGGCATGCAATGTTTTCAAGTCTCATTATGGAGATTTGGGGAATATTTAAGGAAAAATATGTATTTGTCTTTGTCAACCATCAAGCTGTTAGTGATGAAGAGATTTCATCACAGTTGACCAAAGGTAAGACTCCTGAGGGTGAGCAGTCCTGGGGCTCATGGATCCAGCCTGTGCCAATTTCCCACCGGGCAGCCTACAGCAGCTTTCAAGGAGCTACGCAAAAATAGCACTGAAGAACGGTTACTTTACCTGAGATGCAAATCTGACTGGGAGCACGTATGCCAATAGACCCCTTCATCACAGCAGCATCGCCAAGAAGCTTAATCAAGGCGTGGCAGTGCTGTGATGTGGAGAAATATACAGACATTATGATGTCCACTCTTGGGAGAGAGACACAACAGAGGGCCCTATGCTTATCAATAATCTCTCTGCAACACAAGGAAACGCCCCACCTTTGCTTAGATTTCAAATGAGCCGCTTCTCAGTTAGACTCTGGGGTAATGAATAGGAAATGTGAACACAGGGACACAGCACAAGGATGGCCAACCGTAAACTGTACCATGCAAACCCAATCATTCTGGTTACTGACCCTCAGACTTCCACGACTACCCACTGACATGCGCTCATCTTCATCAGAAGCCTAGTAAAAGAAAGGATGAAAACAACCATGAAGCATAATATAAAGAAACCCATGTCCAGCTTCCAGAGAGATGCGGCCGATCTGACACCACAGCAGTGGGGCAGATCAGGCGCCTCTGGAAACCTCAGTGGACGTGAGCCTACGTCTTCCCCAAATGGGCCTTGTGTGTGCACCTCTGTTTACAGAGGGCTGTTTTTAGGATGCTACCGCTTCAAGTTAATTTCACTGAAGTGGTATTATTTACTTTGGGGGTAATCTACAAACAGAGCCTCAATGCATATCACTCTGCAAATTATTTGTGGGTATTGGATAGCAAAAGAGCATTAAAACTGTCATGAATATATATTAATACTCAGAAATTTCCCATTCTCCCCTCACAAAGTTAGGTCAAAATGCTAGAAGTCGAGTTCACAATCTTTGTTTAGATAATAGTATCAATAGTAGTTAGTTTCTTATATAATCATCACTAAGGTATATGTGATTCACGTATTTCAGCCACTACAACTATAAATTAGACTTCAATCAAAGTGAACACAGTACTAACCGATGTGTTTCTTCTGGATCTACGTGAATAGCGCTCACTGTCTTCCTACCAAAGCAATGGAAGAAACAGTATTAAAGGTCAGATACAGACAAAACAGAAGCCATAGTCTGGTTGTGACACAATACAGTATTTCTGATATAAATGTCAAATAAATATTTTCTTTGATGCCATTAAAAAGGCTTCAATTAAACCACTGAGGAAGAATGTTTTCTTTGGGGGGCATGTAAGCACACAAGCAGTTGGCATATTTCATTCTGGCTTTAAAAGTGGGAAAAGATGGGCCTTTGTTTGTCCCTAACCTCTACAATGTGGTCCATTTTAACCAACCTACTTTTCCACCTACATTCAGAACCTTATTCTCTTTCCTTTGGGAATCAGAAGATAAATCATTTCCATAAAAGCTCGAGTAAGGATGTCACCCAATCTACTATATTTTGTGCATTCTGAGACACACACAGTTTTTCACATTTGGATAGCTCTGAAGTGGGGGTATATCTTACCATCAAAGTCGTTCACATTAAAATTAGCAGCGTTTTTTTCTTTCTCAGTGGTATAGAAAACAATGAGGCATCTTTTAACTGGGTCTTAAGATGTGATAAACATACATCTGCCATGGAAGCTTAAAACGATGGTTTACACATACTAAAGGCCGAAATTAATCATTTCTTTCAATAGAGGAAGTGTATACTGTTCATATTTCAGGAACTATTCTCTTTACCGTTCTACACAGGTGTCTAAGATATTAGGAGATAGTTTTACATTTCCTTGGATTATTTATGCATAAGAGACATCGAATATGACATTTCCACACTGGCCAGGTTCTCAGTTGCTAAAAGTATGTGATGATGTTCATAAGGCCATTCAGTAAGTGTCAAGGACAGTAGGAGGTGGGAGGAACTCATGTGGATGAATTAAGGAGAGGAGTGGGTCCACGTTCTTTTGGGGCCAGTGGACAGCAAGGGGAATGCTCCCCCTTCTAGAGCCTCATGCCTGGGGCACCATCTCCTCCTGAGTGTGCTAATGGAGAGCCCTTGGCCTGAGGAGACAGGGCAGGGTGGCACTGGAGACCACCAGCGGCTAGCCTGGAGACTCCAGGAGTCAGCAGCTACTGACCAGACCAGACAAAAACGCCAGCCAGGACCAGTTCTAACCCAGCTTCATATGGATATAAACAATCAGGCCAGATGCAGAAGTCCCTGGAAGAAAATCTCTCAGTATTAAGTTATGGTACAGTAGGAATCTATCAATATAATTAAACTTCCTAAGAATCAAATTATAAACTATTTCAGTTTCTTAAAATTGTATTCAAGGCCTACCATCCACTGCTCGATGTCACCCCATTTTGTATCCAGCCCATAATACTTCTATAGACAGAAGGGAAAGAAAATTAAGCAAGACGTGAAACAGTAACCACATAAGATACCGTTCTGACATGCATTTCCAAACTGCTGCCCAAGCCACACGGGGAAGGGAGCATGCTGAGGCACAGCAGTAAATACCACATTCGGGGCTATGCAGGGAAGTGCCTCCAGTGAGGGGAGCCCATGCAGAGAGACCTCCTCATCCCAGCCCCTCCCAGGCAAGCCCACTGGGCCAGGGTGGAGCGGAGCACTGCGGAGCGGAGCTGAAATTTGCCCGTGCAGCCCCTGTGTGAGGCTGTTCAAGCCTGCGGAGCCAAGGTACTCGAGCTGCTACAGCAGCGAGAAAGCCCAGGGGATGGGGAGAGAGCGCGTGATGACCCCTAGGTTTCTGGTGCCCTTGCTCCAGCTATCTGATATCTACACTAAACTTAGGCCCATGATAATTTATGTTCTTTGGATGTCTTCACAGCATGTCACTGATGGAAAGATGACTGAGTGGCTAAGAAGGGGCTTGGAACAGAAAAAAAAATTTATGGTAGCAGGTTATATTTGACATTTTCTTTAGCAACTGCCTCCATGTTTTTACCTTGCTTGTCTCAGCCCCGGTGGTCCAAGTTAAAATTAGAAAGCAGATTCAGAAGGCTACTGCGCTTACTAAATATAGTCATTCCCAAGACAGGCAGGAGCCCAAGTCTAGTCTCCAATAATGGGGTTTTGCATTTCTCCTCACTTTTCCCACAATTCCAATAGAAAAAGCAAGGGATGACCAACCAAACCTCCATATCATCTAACACAGATGTGGTTTTCCTCTTTATACGTTAAAACTTCATAATCAGAAAAAATATTAGATGCTAGAAGTCCAAGACACGTTTTGAAGTTGTTTTCTAATTGCCAAAACATGCTGCTATGTTTGGCTTAGTTTCAGTTTATTTTGAAGGGTGGCCAGATTTTAAATATAATGGCTTCCCGACAGTCTTGCCCCTTTCTCTTAGGGCGCTAAGTAGGCCTAGTGGAAAAGAAAAAAAACTGAAGGGAGAATTTAACCATGCTTTCCAAATTTCAACCAATACAAAAATGTAACATATCAAAACTACATGCACCTAGTCTTTTTCTGTAAGTCACTCTCCTAACTTCGACTGAAGTGAAATGCAACAGCTTAAAGCCATTTTGCATTCAGCTAATGTTGGCCTTGCTCTCATAGCCAAATTCCAGGTTTCTCACCTGTAAAATGTGACACCATCAGCCCTCTTCAGCTCATGGCTTGATTACAAAGATAGAAAGAAGACAGTTTTTGTTTTTAATGGGGGCCTATATAAAGGCACAAAAAATATTTCAATTCCAACAGAAGTCTGTATGATCTGTTCTTCTATTTTCATATTTCCCTTTTTTTGCCAATTCTATACTTGTATCAAATACTGCACACCATCTCTTGCTCTTTTTGTGATAAAAATAAGAACTAGCATTCAAAATCTTCCATCTAGTTTATGGTGACCTTACACATCACTGCTGCGCCTGTAGCTACATTTCCCCGTCATTTCAGGGAGAGAGAGCACCCCCCTCCCCCAGCGGAAAGTGCAACTAACTGGAAGTTCTGATGTTAGTGAGCAGGCAGCACAGCCAAGTGCGGAAAGCATACAATGTTTCAAATGTAAACGACTATGATTAGCCAGTGAGTCATGCAGAGGAAGCAAGAACCAGACTTACAACACAAAAGGTGCTCGACTTTCAGAAATAGCTTTGGTTCAGTAGAAGAGAGACCATCACACAGAACAGCCAAGTGGACCGAGAGAGACGTTTACTGCCTCCTCTTCCTTTTCTCAAATCTTAATGATAAGGAAAGCCTTACCTTCCCTTGGCACATCTTTGTTATAAAAATGTGTATCTGCTTTTCTCCTGTGGACTTCCCGAGCTCCTTTCTAGGTTACTTTGTATACCAGTTAACATTCTAAGGAAGGTCTAACATTATATCCCTGGTGGGTTACTAAACAGAAAAATAATAGTGCTCCGGAACCAGAAAGGAATGGGCCAAAGTGTTAATTACTAGGCGGGTCTCTTTCCTAGGTTTTGGACAGTTTGTTACAGGGAGGGTTCCCCAGCCTTGCCAGCTTTGCCTCTTGTTAAATTCTTCCCGGCACTCTGTAAGTATGTTTGGATCTAGTTTCAACATGCATTCCAATACCAGACCCCACAAAAACTAATAAAGTGCAAATAGATTCTGGCACCCATTTATCTGATTTGTCCACACTCTTCTAGACAGTAGTTATGCAGACTGGGGGTGGGGGACAGGAAGCAAAGGCAATCCAGTAATTGTAGCCAGTAAAGGAATCCATGGCCGGAATTTTAAATTTACTGACCGTGTATTTAAAAGGACCTGCTTATTCTAACCTCTGAAACGGTCATCTTATTTTGATTTTCTTAGCTGCTCTAAAAGAAAAAAAAATACAGTTCTTAGATTTATAAAAAGCAACGATGATAGATGTCAGAAGTAACAAACTAGATTCAGGTTTGGGAAAGATTCACTGTAGACATACACTATAAATTATCAGGGAACCAACCACTCCCTCCATCATCGTCGCGGAATCAGGAACCACTGATCTAGTTGTTTCGACCTTAATTTGTGTGCCTGGCCTCCTAGTGTATTTCTCTTTAAATCTCAGCAGCTTCTAAGTGCCTAGGAAATAGACATGCATGCTACCACCATGAATGTTTAGGGATAGAGGGCATGTTTATTTTAAGCTATTGGATTTTACTGTTGTGTCATTTTCTTTTTTAATCAGATTTTTAAATCAGTATATAACAATCTCTAAATGTGTGATAATCTGCACTGAGATTTTAAAATTTTTCTAATAAAATCATATGGAAGAATAATCTTTCTCTTTACATATCTGACTTCAAAGGTTTCCCCAATTCTGAAGTGTGATTTTATTTTGTCTTAGAATTTGTTTTTCCCCAAAGAAACAATTTTCTAATTCCTTGAGAAAAGCAGAGATGAGGAAAACATTCTGTGGACAGAGGTGCATCTGATGGTTGCTTTTTTCTGGGGTGGAGTAGAGATGACTTCAGCATTCTTGATCAAACCAATTTGTAAACAAAGCTGTAAAAAATTCTATGTATTTTCAATGAAAGGCATTATTTCTGAAAGGTGACCAGGCCCTTGGCAAGGCAAAAAAAAAAAAAACAAAACGAGTGCATGCAAATTAGAAAACAAAGAACAAAGAGCCTACCTTTTGAACCTGATAGATCTACAGAGAAGGGCAAAAGAAACAGGAAAAGAAATATGAAATCTAATTACAGAAGTAGTTACGTCAGAAAGATAGGTTCTCTAAGTCTCCGGAAATGTGAAGAAAAGCCATACTGGAAAAAAACCCAACACTGAATACCAGTAGAACACGAAAAATGTTTGAAGTCTCAATGAAAGAATTATTAATTTCCTAACTCATTTTACATTCTATTTCAGATACAATGGTGAAACCTGGGCACACACACATGGGGTCCCTGCAAGAATCCTGGTATGATTCCACTGCACGGGTCCATGTGACCCATTACCAGCAGTGATCCGTGTAACCCATTAAAAGCACTTCATCTTCAATTCGAAATCTCTTTGCACAGTGATAAAAGTTCCACTAGAAAGTAAAGAAACAGAATTGGAAAGTCAACTGGTCAAGTTCACATATAGGGAAGGAAGATGCTTTCCTGTTCTGATTCATGCAGGTACAAACAATGCCAGGAAAATGACAGGTAAAGAAAAAGCAATCACTAGAATAGAATTGAAATATTTTTTTAAAAAGCGGATTATTGCACACTGACACATTCATTTGCTTCAGATGTTTCTCCTAATTGTGTAGTAATCACTAGGTAAGACTGAGATTTCAGACTCATTCATAAAACAAAACATTTGCTGAGTCAGGCTTTATTCAAGGCACTGTCAACGCTTGGCATTTCTGGTCTTACACAGGTGGCACAGGTGAGTATATTCAACATTATGACCATATGACACACAGTACTCTCCATGAAAACGTTTATCAAGTCAGTAGCAATGAAAGAGATGCATCCTGTTCATCATATTGGCTGGTCATCTCTTACCATTTTGTTTCTGTTAGTGGAGGTCCTCATGTGAAGTAAAAGGTTCACTTGGAGTTCCCAAAGAATATCTACATATTATTCTTCCCTAATGAATCCATTCAAAAGGAGCTCATAATCCTTTTAAACAGTCCCACAGCACAGGGAACATAGGTCATAGTCGGGTCTCAATCTGCACAGAGAAGAACCATGATGGAGAGAGCTAGGGGCCGCCACGGGAGGGCTGGGCGGGCCTGGGTGGTCCAGGTAAATCCACAGCCAGGCCACAAGCCCTGCGTCCTCAGGGTCTGTGGGCCTCGAGGTCAGATCTATGCTCCAGCATAATATCTGCTTGCTCCCCTCACCCCTCTGTGCACTCTCCACGCCCGACTTGGGGTATCCCAGGCACTAGTGTGGTTCCAACCACAACCCACCTCCAAAACCCCCAACCTTTGTCACTGGCTTCCTGCTTCCTGGCCCCCAAGGACAGTCACCCCTCCTCCTCCAAGGAGTCAAGACTCTGTCCACCGTCCCTGGATCTGAGCTCCCTCTCCAGGAAAGCCTCGCCCCTGCTCAGAAACACCTGTGTAGAGGTGGATGGCTTGCCACCAGATGAAAACAGAGATCGTGTTTCTCAATTTTCTTACACCAAAATATCAACCCTACTAGTTAAACACTGGCCTTCCAAAGCATATTCATTTCCACTTAATCAACAACTTAAATGCCAATGGCTGGGGCTATCAGATTGTATAACCTCAAATTGCGTTAGCTAGTTCTAATAAAAGCCAGGCCCAGAGATGTGATATGCAAAGGGCGGGCTGAAAGAAGTGTTGTCTGTACACCTTCCTAAATCCTTAGACCCTGCTAGCTTGTCTCGCTTCCCCCTCTAGAGGTAGACACAAACACTCACGTGTGCACATGCGTGCACACAGGTATAGTGCCCCCCTCCGGACTTGGCTCACATCAAGAAAGAGCTAGATGAACAGCTAAAGCTTCTGTGTTCTTGCTAACCAAGCTGCCTATTCTGTGTTTACTATACTGCGCTTCCAAGGCCACACCAGTGGAAAAACTGGTTTCCCGGGGTATGCTTCTGCTTGTAAAATGACCGGGATTAGGTGCATCTTCTCTTTCCCCTCTGCTGTGGGTGCCAGCCAGCTCCCAGACAACCAGAATCCCAGAGACTCCGCCCTGGGTTTTTCTTGTTAATTACATATTTGTCTTTGGAGATAGAGGGCACACCAGGAGGACCACACTTTGAAGCCGTCAGGCCTACATGTGAATCTGGGCTTGCCCATTTCTTAGCTGTAGGGATAACTGTCCACTTTCCTCACCTGTAAGTCAAACTCGGGCAGAGTCCCTCACAGATTGTGACAGCACCCAGGTGTGCTGCTGCCCTGGACCAGGGGCTCTAGGACGTCCCTGTGGTTCCCCTCTGCCCCACCTCAGCTCTCTTCGACTAGCAATAAAATATACATCTATTTTAATTTAAACCTTTCAAATCCCCCCTTTTTTGAAGCATTAGATAAACTTTAAATATCAATGCTTTCATATTTCAAAGACCCTAAATTTCTGCTAGCAAAATCATCATTTGGATGGTTCAGTGCTGCTGCTGAGCCAACCAGATCAGTATAAACTGCAGGACAGACTGGGGCAGGGTGTGGGGGGGCTCCCTCCATGTTTCATCCCTTCCTTGACCTGGCTGTGCTTGTGTTCTGCCTTAGCCCACATGCCACTCCTTCACTCAGCGTCCCAACAGGCTGTGTGGACCAGGGTTAGTTTCTCTGCTGACTCCCTGACACATACAGATTATCACTGTGCACACTAATAAATCCCACCATGGGAGCTGGTCATCAGGCATGTGACTGACCCCGAA